ACAAACAAACAATTCCAACTCTGTCTTGTAATTGATAGTACCAGCCAAGTGGCACAACTCTGGAGATTGCACTGAAGTTTTAGGTATTGCAAATTGTACACTTGTTTTAAAATGCCCTGTTTTCATTAAGCGGACATAATTTATCAGATGTCAATTCAAGTTACTTGTACTTAACATTACCACATCTAAAGTGAGTTGCTTCCTGTATCCACTGTTTCATGGTGATTATGGAAAAATCTTAGAAAGTGTTGAAAACCGTGTCAACTACTGATGATAAAGGTGACTTTTAGAAATACTCTTGACAAAAGTATTGTAATTTAATTATATAGCATTCATAAAATCTGAAAGGAATAGGATAGTATCTACCTTAAAATAGAGGAAAATGCTAAAAGATTGTTGTTGTAGTATCAGAGAAAATAATTGCAATGTTTGGATTTTCCTACAAATTGAACTATTATATGGGATCTTTACAAGTCAGAATGTATTGTGGTTTGAGTCATTTCACTAGTCATTTATTCTATAACAGCCTAATTCCAACTAAAACATGCATAATGTCTTTTTTTTTTCCACTTAGAGAATTCCACATGGAATTCATCTTACCTGATAAAAATAATTTATTTATCCCTCTTCATCTTGGGGAAAGAGAGCACCACTTACAAAGTGTAACCACAGCATTATTTTGCAATTTTTCATTTTGTAATTTTTGTCTATCTTCCCTAGAGTGCATTGACTTTATTAACCAGTTAAGTTAATAAATTTTTAATTTATTCTCATGCAATTAAAAAATTTTACATAAATTATTCTAGAGTTTAATCAAAATAAGAATTGCTAATACCAAATATCAACATCATTTAATGAGCTGATATTAATTACAGCTGCCGAATTATGGGTGATTAGCAGAAGGCTGGGCAGATATGGCATGTGAAAAAAGTATAAAATGATGAAGTGCCAAAAGCAGAATGAAACTCAGAAAAGTTCAGGGAAGTGCAAAATTGATTTGTATTTACATTAGACACCAGATTGTCCTTACAGCTTTAAGGATAAATAATGTTTAGAAAAGTGTCAGACGAAGTGTATAGTAGAAAAGGAAGTAATATGAATTAGGGACTGTTATTGCATGAATATGTCACATTAAAAATGATCCAGCCTCAGCGGCTCCCCCTTGAGTCCCAGCTACTCAGGAGACTGAGACAGGATGGTGCTTGAGCCTGGAGTTCTGAGCGACAGAGAGCGATACCTATTGGGTGTCTGTGCCAAGTTGGGCATCAATATGGTGACCTTCAGGAACAGGGGACCGCTAGTTTCCCTAAAAGGGGGGGGGATTTGAACTGGCCCAGGTCAGAAATGGAGCAGGTCAAAACTCCAATGCTGCTCAATAAAAAGAAAATAAGTTATATTAAGTTATATTTTGCCTGAATACAATAGAATAAAGGTTGCATGTGGATAGTCACAGAATATAAGTTTGGAAAAATTGCTGACTGAAATTTGGTAGATCAAGAAAGTAGAGTAAAAGTTTTGGTTTACTATTAAAGACAACAGAGAACCACTATCAAACCTTGAGCAAATGAAAAACTATGTGTTGAAAATTTTATGTAATAGTCTTGGTTATAGATTATATTACGATGAAGAAAAGGAGTCAAAGATGATTTCAAAATATAATGCACAACACTTCAGTTTTGTGAAGAAAAAATGTGTTCGATTTTTCTGTGCTATAAGATCCAGTTTATATTTAATGTATAGATATTGCTGATAAGAGGAAATACACTGCTGAATTCTAAAGTAGAATCTTCAATAGAACTTTGTGCCTATATAGATTTGTAAATGAATTGGTCATTTTCATCAGAAATAGCAGCAATTTACTGATTCTTGGATTTTGACACTGTTAAAAGAACTGAGAATTTTACAAAACATGTCTAGAAAAGATACGTCAAACATATATATAACCATTCAACTTTGTCTATTAACAAAACTACTTCTTCAAGACTGAGTTTAAATATCACCGTCCCTTGAGTACTTATGAAATAGCCCAGAAAGAAATATACTTTTCATGACTTTCTTAAATTCCATCATTTTTTTTTTTTTTTAAAGATTTATTTATGGGGCCTCCCCGGTGGTGCAGCGGTTGAGCGCTGGGTTGCGAAGCTGCCCGCAGCCTCTGCAGTGCTGGTTCGATCCCCGGCTGCTCCCCGGCCACCGGAGGAGGGTCCCACATGGCGCGCAGACCTCTCCTGCCGCCCGCTGCTCCCCTCAGCAGTGTACTTCGGTCCTTCTGCCTGCTCTGCTCCCTGCTGTGGCTCTGTTGAATTCTTACCCTCCCACGCTTCTGACTGTACCCAGCGCTTGTATAAATAAATAAATAAATAAATCTTTAAAAAAAAAAAAAAAAGATTTATTTATTTATTTATACAAGCGCTGGGTACAGTCAGAAGTGTGGGAGGGTGAGAATTAACCAGAGCCAGAGTGGGGAACAGAACAGGCAGAGTAATGAAATACACTGCCAAGGGGAGCAGCGGGCATGACAGGAGAGGTCTGTCGCACCATGTAGGACCCTCGCCGGCAGCAGGGGATCGAACCGGCACTGCAGAGGCTGCGGGCAGCTGCATAGCCCAGCACTCAACCGCTGCTCCACCAGGGGAGGCCCAAATTCCATCATAAGTTTTACTGTATTATTTAAATAGTCTTTAATGTCTTGTAATATTAGTTCATTCCCCCCCTGATCTTTATGGATTTAATAGTATTTAAGTTATCTAATTTAATAGATGGTATGTGTCATTTAGATTAGAAGCACCTTGAGGGGGCCTCCCCGGTGGCGCAGCTGTTGAGCGCTGGGTTTCGAGGCTGCCCACAGCCTCTGCAGCGCCAGTCCGATCCCCAGCTGCTCCCCGGCCACCGGAGGAGGGTCCCACATGGCTCGCAGACCTCTCTTGCCGCCTGCTGCTCCCCTCAGCAGTGTACTTCGGTCCTTCTGCCTGCTCTGCTCCCTGCTCTGGCTCTGGTGAATTCTCTCACCCTCCCGCGCTTCTGACTGTGCCCAGTGCTTGTATAAATAAATAAACAAACAAACAAACAAACAAACAAACAAACAAATCTTTAAAAAAAAAAAAGAAGCACCTTGAGGATGAATCAGTCAGAAGACAAGAGATGTCATTTAATTAATTTGTATTCATCTGAAAATCTTGGTATATGGTAGTACTTAAGTACTACTAGGTTGATAGTATGAATACTCACAGTAATTATTACTTTTCTAAAGGGGATAAGGAGAGTAATGGGTGTTCTTTGGGCCAAAATTTCACAATTTAAAAGCTAGAAAAAATAATATACACCAAAGGAGGAAAATATTCTTCCATGTGTGAACAGATATGCGTCCTTCCTGACAACATGTGTTTAATAGCCATATGTGATATATTTGGTGTAAAATATATTATGCTATTTGAAAACAACAAAACAATGCAGTAAAGAAACCATAGGAAAGTGCCCAATATAAGTAGCCAGAAAGAGTAGTAGAAATAGGTAGATCTGAAAGAGTAAGTCAATAGCAGAAAACGATGTACAGTAAATACAGTTCGGGAAGAATCATTAAAAATTTTCACAGAATAGGGCCTCCCTGGTGGCACAGGGTGTTGAGCACAGTGCTATGAAGCTGTCCGTAGCCTCTGCAGCGTGGTTTCGATTCCTGGCCGGCCAGGGAGATACCCACGTGGCGCGTCAGACCTCTCCTGTCTTCCCCCTGCTCCCCTAAGCAGTGTCTTCGGTCCATCAGCCTGTTCTGCTCCCCACTCTGTCTCTGGTGAATCCTCTCACCTTCCCACACCTCTGGCCTGTATCCCAGTTCTTGTATAAATAAATAAATCTTTAAAAAATAATAAAAAAATAAATATTTTCACAGATTAAAACAGTATATAAGAGCTTTGTTAATAGGATGAAAGAGAACATCTCAGCTATAACAACCACTCGCCCTAATAATCAAGGCTCTGAGTTACATTAATTTCCTTCAAAAATGGGATATAATTTTCAAATAATAGAAAAAGGTAAATTATTTTCCAAACCATATTTTTATCTTACAAGATTTTAAGCATATAAAAGTCTGTATTAGGTAGCTTGATTGCCTTTAAACTCATAATATACATAAAATGCAGGATATATTATCTAATGTTCTCAGAACTCATTATACGTTTCTAAACGAAACCATATCGTCAACATTCTCTTTGAGATATGAAGGAAACTGTAGACTGGGAAGCTATTATTTACTGAGGATGCACAAAATTAGATATTTCCTATTCTTTATGTCATGTTGACATTCATAATAATCTGTATCAATGATATTATCCCCATTTTAATAATGAGGAAACTAAGCCTCAGAAAAGTGATAAAATGATGGCAAAATGTAGTAAGGGATAGAGCTGGTGTACAATGCCTACACTCTTTCTAACCTCACTCATAAAATGGCAACTGGCTGAAAAATAAAGTCAAATCATTGTTTTTACCTGTATCTGTATCTGTATAGTGAGTTTAGTTATTATGTATTATTAAATGCATTAGTGGATTGATATTAGAATAATCCAGCTTCCAGACTGATGCAAAAAGCAAACCTAAACTGAATTGCACTTTAAAAAACTAAAATATTTTGCTTTTTCAATCAATTTTGTGCACTGAGAGGTTATTGAATTTGTTATTAAATTCCATAACACACTGTGTACTGTGGAAAAGCATATAGAGTCAAAAATAGAATAAGTGGCAACTATGTAAAATTGAAAACAAATTAGAGTATGTAAGATAACAGGAGTTCATTGCAGAGAGTCTTTAACATCAAGAGAACCAGGGAAGTGTTTGGTATATTGTGGACATTTTTGCATAGACTATCAACTTCAATTAGATATCAAATTAGTGACATTTATATTGCTTCATTTTGTACTTATAAATAAAGTACTTATAAATAGCTACAAAATATTATAAAAACATACAATTAAGATAAATCAAGCATATTCATATTTATTTTCTAGTGCTCTGTGACTTGTGGTAAAGGTTTAAAGTACCGTGAGGTGCTTTGCATTGACAAATTCCAAAGGAAATTAGAAGAAACAAATTGCAGTCATCTTCAGAAACCCCGAACTCACAAAGCCTGTAGGTCTGCTAGATGCCCCTCGTGGAAAGCCAACAGATGGAAAGAGGTATGTGATGTTATGTTATAAATATATCTGCATATTTCCATTTAAAAAGTAACACAATTTAATCTCTATACTTTCACATTGAAAGTTTTTTTTTTTGTTTTTTTTTTTATCTTAAATTTTATTTTTATATTCCCCCATACAATTGCAAACGCCCCATTCTGACCCCAATCCTTCCCCTCCCGCCCCCCACCCCCCAAAAAGTGCTCTGGTTCATAGTTTTTTGTTGATTTTGATTTTCACTTTCTTATATTCATTTTCCTGGTCCCTTATTTAAGTTTTCTAGATTCCTGCTATGAGTGAGACCATCCGGTATTTTTCTTTTTCTTTTTGGCTTATTTCGCTGAGCATGATCCCTTCCAGCGCCATCCATGTTGCTGCAAATTGCATGTGTTTATCTTTTTTGAATGCTGAGTAATATTCCATGGTATATATGTACCACATCTTCTTGATCCAGTCATCTACTTTTGGGCATTTGGGTTGTTTCCAAAGCTTAGCTATTGTAAACAGTGCTGCTATAAACATAGGGGTGCAGGTGCTCTTTGGAATTGATGTTTCTGTGTCCTTTGGGTAAATACCTAGGAGTGGAATTGCTGGATCATAAGGAAGCTCTATATTTAGTAGGTCCAGAAATCTCCACACAGCTCTCCATAGTGGTTGGACCAGTTTGCACTCCCACCAACAGTGCAGAAGAGTTCCTTTTTCTCCACATCCTCGCCAACATTTGTTGTTGCTAGTTTTTTTAATATGTGCCATTCTCACTGGTGTGAGATGGTATCTCATGGTAGTTTTGATTTGCATTTCCCTGATTGCAAGTGATGTTGAACATTTTTTCATATGTCTGTTGGCCATTTGCATTTCCTCTTCAGAGAAGTTTCTTTTTAGCTCTTCTGCCCAATTTTTGACTGGATTATTTTCTTTGTTGTTGCTGAGTCTCATCAGCTCTTTGCAGATTTTTGTGATCAGTCCTTTATCATTAGTGTTGGGTGCAAAAATGTTCTCCCAGTTGGTGGGGTTTCTCTTTGTTTTTGTTATTGTCTCTTTTGCTGTGCAGAAGCTCTTTAATTTGATGTAGTCCCAGCTGTTTATCTTTGCCTTCACTATCACTGCTTTGGGTGATGTGTCTGTAAAGATGTCTTTGATGTGCAAATCCCGTAGTGTTTCGCCTATATTTCCTTCTATGTATTTTATGGTTTCAGGTCTTATGTCTAGTTCTTTAATCCATTTTGAGTTGATTTTTGTGTATGGTGTGAGGTAGTGGTCAAGCTTCATTCTTTTGCATGTAGCGACCCAGTTTTCCCAGCACCATTTATTGAACAAACTTTCTTTGCTCCAATGCATAGTCTTTGCTCCTTTGTCAAAGATTAGTTGACCATAAATCTGTGGGTTTATTTCTGGATTTTCTATTCGATTCCATTGGTCTGTATGTCTGTTCTTGTTCCAATACCATGCAGTTTTGATGATTATGGCTTTGTAGTATAGTTTGAAGTCTGGGAGTTTGATGCCTCCATTTCCTTCTTTTTTTTTCAGTAGAGCTTTGGCTATTCGGGGTTTTTGGTGATTCCATCTGAATTTCATCAATAATTGTTCTATTTCTTTGAAGAATGCCATTGAGATTTTGATTGGAATAGCATTGAATGTGTATATCGCTTTTGGTAGGATGGCCATTTTAATAATGTTTATTCTTCCAATCCATGAGCAGGGGATGTCTTTCCATTTCTTTGTGTCTTCTTCTATTTCTTTTAACAGTGTTTTATAGTTTTCTTTGTATAGGTCCTTTACCTCTTTTGTTAGATTTATTCCCAAATATTTGATTTTTTTTGTTTCGATAATAAAAGGGGTGGTTTTTTTGATTTCTTCTTCTTCAGATTTATTGTTTGTGTATAGGAAGGCTACTGACTTTTGCGTGTTGATTTTGTATCCTGCCACTTTACTGAACTGATTGATGAGTTGAATTAGTTTTTCTGTGGAGATTTTGGGGTTCTCTATGTATATTATCATATCATCTGCAAATAGTGATAGTTTGACTTCTTCTTTTCCTATTTGGATTCCTTGGATGTCTTTCTCTTGTCTTATTGCTCTGGCTAGGACTTCCAGTATTATATTGAAAAGCAGTGGTGAGAGTGGACATCCTTGTCTTGTTCCAGATCTTAATGGAATTGCTTTCAGCTTTTCACCATTGAGAATGATACTGGCTGTTGGCTTGTCATAGATGGCCTTTATGATGTTGAGGTATGTTCCTTGTATCCCAAGAATTTCAAGGGCTTTTATCATGAATGGGTGTTGCACTTTGTCGAAAGCTTTCTCAGCATCTATTGATATTATCATATGGTTTTTATATTTCTTTTTGTTGATGTGTTGGATAACGTTGATTGATTTTCGGATGTTAAAACATCCTTGTGCCCCTGGAATGAATCCAACTTGGTCGTGGTGAATTATCTTATGGATACATTGTTGGATTCTGATAGCTAAAATTTTATTGAGGATTTTTGCATCAGTGTTCATTAGGGAGATTGGCCTATAGTTTTCCTTTTTTGTGTTGTCCTTATTCGGTTTTGGTATTAGTGTAATATTGGCTTCATAGAACGTGTTTGGTATTGTCCCTTCCTTCTCAATTTTTTGGAAGAGTTTGTGAAGGATAGGCACTAATTCGTCTCTGAATGTTTGGTAGAATTCATTTGTAAATCCATCAGGTCCTGGGCTTTTGTTTTTGGGGAGGTTTTTGATTACCATTTCAATTTCGCTGCTTGTAATTGGTCTGTTTAGGTGTTCTATTTCTTCTTTATCTAGCTTTGGGTGATTGTAGAGTTGTAGGAATTTGTCCATCTCCTCTAGATTGTTGAACTTGTTTCCATATAACTGTTCATAGTAGTTACTGATTATTCTTTTGATTTCTGCTGTGTCCGTTGTGATTTCTCCTCTTTCATTTATGATCCTGTGTATTTGTGCTTTCTCCCTTTTTTCCTTTGTGAGCCTGGCTAGGGGTTTGTCTATTTTATTTATTTTTTCAAAGAACCAGCTCTTGGTTTCATTGATCTTTTGGATTGTTTTTTTAGTTTCAATTTCATTTATTTCTGCTTTGGTTTTTATTATTTCTTTTCTTCTACTGGATTTGGGTTTTTTTTGTTCTTTTTCTAGATCTTTGAGCTTCGAGATTAGGTTGTTTCTTTGAGTTCTTTCTTGTTTTTTGATGTGAGTTTCTATTGCTATATATTTTCCTCTTATTACTGCTTTTGCTGCATCCCATACATTTAGGATATTGGTGTCCTCCTTGTCATTCAATTCGAAGAATTTTTTAATTTCTTCTTTGATCTCCTCATTAGTCCAGTGGTCTTCCAGTAGTGTGGCTTTTAATCTCCATGAGGTAGGATAGTTCCTTGCCTTCTTTTTATGATTTATTTCTAGTTTGATGCCTTCGTGGTCAGAAAAGATGGTTGGTATGATTTCAATCTTGGTGTATCTGTTGATGTTTGTCTTGTGCCCCAGTATGTGATCGATCCTGGAGAATGATCCGTGTGCGCTTGAGAAAAATGCGTACTCCGTTTTTTTTGGGTTTAGTGTTCTATAGATGTCTGTTAAGCCCAAATGCTCTAGGTCCTTATTTAGAGCTTTAGTTTCTTTACTTATTTTTTGTCTTGTTGATCTATCCATTGTTGATAGTGGTGTGTTGAAGTCTCCCACTACGTATGTGTTTTCTCTGATGTCTGTTTTCAGAGAGGACAACAGTTGTCTGATATATTTTGGTGCTCTTTCGTTTGGTGAGTATATGTTAATGAGTGTTATTTCTTCTTGAAGTATTGTCCCCTTAATCATAATGTAGTGACCATTGGGGTCTCTTTTTATTTTTTTGAGTTTGAAGTCTGTTTTATCTGATATACGTATAGCTGTTCCTGCTTTCTTTTTTGGCCCATTTGCTTGTAGGATTGTTTTCCATCCTTTGACTTTGAGCCTATTTTTATCTTTTGTAGCTAAATGTGTTTCCTGGAGACAGCAAAAGGTTGGGTTTTGTTTCTTAATCCAGGCTGCAACTCTGTGTCTTTTTATTGAAGAGTTTAGTCCATTTACATTTAGAGTTAATATTGATATGTTAGCATCTGTATTTGCCATTATGTTTGTCTTTCCTTTGATTTTATTTATTCTTTTAATAACTTTTTTTTTTTTTGGTCTTCTTTCGTTGTTATTCGTCCCTCTGAGGTTCTGGCTTTAGGATTCCTTGTAGTATTTTTTGGAGTGGGGGTTTATTCGTAATGAAATTCCGGAGTTTCTCTTTGTCTGGGAAGGTCCATATTCTTTCTTCATGGAGGAAAGAGAGCTTTGGGGGATAGAGTATTCTTGGTTGGCATCTGTTTTCTTGGAGTCTGTTGACTATGTCCCTCCACTCTCTCCTTGCCCGTAGTGTTTCTTCAGAGAAGTCTGATGTCAGCCTGATTGGTTTTCCTTTGAATGTTATCTGTTTCTTCCCTCTTGTCAGCTTCATTATTTTTTCCTTGTCCTGGATTCTTGGGAGCTTTACTATTATGTGTCTTGCTGTGTTTTTCCTTTCGTCGTGGAAGTTTGGTGTTCTTCTTGCTTCTTGTATATCAATTTTCAGCTCCTTCTTCGCATTTGGGAAGTTCTCTTCAATTATCTCCTGGAATATTTTCTCTGTTCCTACATCTCTCTCCTCTCCTTCTGGAATTCCTATAACTCTTATATTTCCTTTCCTCATGGAGTCAGATAGTTCTCGAAGTCTTTCTTCATTCTTTTTCCTTCGTACTTCTCTTTCCTTTTCTGTTTTGGTTCTTTTTATTTCTGTGTCTTCAAGAGAACTTATTCGTTCTTCCATTTCATCTATTCTGCTTTCCTTGCTTTTCCCGGAGTTCTTTAGTTCCTCCATTAATTCTTTGATCTCCTGCATTTCTTTTACTTCCTTCTTTAGGGACTCAATTTCATTCTTCTGACCATTGTTTTCCCTCTTTAGGGACTCAATTTCCTTCTTCTGATCTATCACTTTTTTAATCATG